GAGAATTTGAAGCAGACAGCAACTGTAATGGCCACGTTACAAAGAGTGAACCTTTTGCTTTTAGTCAGCAATTTTTATTTATTTATTTGGTTTCGGGTTTAAAAATGGAGGTGAGCATTAGATTCAATGATGCGTTAAGACTTGAATAAATATGGGTAATTTACATGCCTAAAATAACTTAAATTTCATTGACAGCAGCTTCTGTTCTTTCTGATGTTATGAATGCTATTACCAACTGCACATCCAATCAAGTATAGTGTGGCATAGGACATGTTTGTATAAGTTTATTTACAAATATTTAATGAAAATATTCAAACTGGGCAATAACTTTTTCACTCACTACTCAATTCTCAAGTTCAGTTTTCTGGTGTTCTTCCCCCAAGAATTTAAAAATATATAAAACGTTTATTTACGGTTACCTCTAGAAACTGGTGAAAAACTGGAAAAAGAGGCCACGTTTTTCCTAAGAGAAGTCCTAACATACACTTGGCAGTATTTATATCTAGGCTTCGTTGGTCCTTTTCCTGTTACAATGAAAAAAGGGGATTATTTGGAATATTCCTAATTTGAACTAATATCCAAGACATCTTATTCTTCACAAGACAGAATGTATGACCTATAGCTGGGCATCCTGTTGGAAACTTACAACTTATGATCATGCAGTTTAGAACCACATGGTTGTGCAATGAGTCCAGTATTGTCATACTTGCACCATCAGGATCACTGCACCAGTAGATGAAGCAGCATAGCTATTATGCAAATGGTTGTGATTTGTATCAGTACTGGACTTCATTTACTAAGGCTGCATTTCTGCATTAACACCAAAAGGAGGGAGCAATAGCTTCCAACAGAGCCAAAAGGCATTGGTAACCCAGAAATAACAAAATCCATACAGAAGTCAAACAAGAACCTCATAAAATGAGCACAAAAACAACATTAGTGTGTAAATGACTCACCTGAGTTACTAGACAGATTAGCAAATAGTGTTCCCTTGCTACTTCGTAGTTAGCTTTTCTGTGGGTTTTTGTGGTACTCATTCTGCACATGCGTAGTATGCCCGCCATTGGTCCACAGCCCTGCCAGCGGTTGTCAATCCCAGCTTGTTTACCCTACCAGGCAGCCAATGAGGCTCAGAGGTGATGCCGCCTCCCAGTTTATGAGGCCGCCTCCCAGTTTATGAATGGTTGCCGTTGCCCAGAGCGGCGTTCTAATCCCGCCTCCTGGCAACAATGGAGTGTGGAAAGGGGTTTCACTACCTCACTACCTCTGAGGATGCTTGCCATAGATACAGGTGAAATGTCATGAGAGAATGCCTCTAGAATATGGCCACATAACCCAAAAAACCCCACAACAACCCAGTGATTCCGTCCATGAAAGCCTTCGACAATACAATTTACATACTGTTTTGAAGAACATTTTCATTCATAAAAAAGAGAGAGAGGAGATACAAAGCAGTATGAAAATTACAGCCTGATAGTCCCTTCCTTATAGCTAGCAAAAAAAGGTGTGTGGTGCCATTAAATCTCTCCTTGTTTCTGCCTCACCCTCGGAATGCGATATATATATATATACACCATCCCTACTTCACAGATTTTCACTTTTCGCGGATGGTCCTGGAACTTAACACCCATGATAAGTGAGGAAATACTGTATATCTAATTGGAGGAAAATACAAAAACACAAGGGGAATTCTTCCACCTTGGAGAACATTTCATGTTAATTTGGAATAATTAACAACAATAGATATTTTTTCCTCCCTATGAAAGCAATTGAAAGAGAAGTGAGGAAAAGAGGCTGAAAAGAATCTGAATCTCAGGCTACTCACCCGTGCGAAGTCAAAAGCATATCTGTAAATAAGTTTAAAATTTGTAGGTTCATTTAATAAGGATCTCAAATAATCCAAAGAATTTCTTAGCTTCTCTGTGGTATCACATCTGCCAAATTAAAAACAATACATCCATTTAAAATTCAGAATTTTATTGATTTTATAACCATCATACATTTTTGGGGATTTTATAAGCTGGCTTTCCAGAAAGCTGAAAGATTTAGAGCAAAAACATTGTACGGATTAACCATGCTGTATATACTAATCAAAAAATTAGTAGATCTAGAAAAAAATGTACAATTCACAGAAATTCAGGCAAAGAAGCTATAGGCATGGGGGGCAGGAGGGCAGAGAATCAGACAGACAAAGTATACTGGAAATTACTAAATCAAAATATGCAGAAATTTCAGTTATGGCAGAGAGTGGAATTAAAATTTGTAAGATAATAGTGCATCATTGCCAAATATATTTCATTTCTGATGATTGCAATAATACTTACTGCAGAGATGTCATTCCTTTTAGCCATTCTTGTAATGTAAAGTAACCCATATTCTGAGCATCCAGCTTCCAAGCTAACACAAGCATAACTACCTAATTTAAAAGAAAAAAAATATTACAATAGTTGAAGACTTTACTCTCTAGAACGCAAACCTCAGTTTATATTCAGAAGCATTAATCACCACTCCTCATGACTCTAAGTACCTTGACAGCGGTCTTTTAAAAGTTATCCACTCCTACTTTCATGGACAAAGAAATGTAGGAGGAAACAGCTGAGATGCATAGACAAGAGATTTCTGTCAAAACATCTCAAAACCTTCAATGAAGAGAGAAGGGAGGTACAGAATGCATTCCCTGCCTTGTTGGCCTTTGTTTTTGATGAAGAGTAAAAGTTAAACGTACATTTTCTGGTTCAACTCCAATATCCTCACAGAATTTCTCCATTCCTTCAGGACCCACAATATCATCTGTTCCTAGAAGAAAATGAGATTGTGTTACTTTACTTTCACTTCAGAAGTCACTGTTAATATTTACAAAAAGTCCAAAATATCAGAGTTGTTCATACACTGCATTCTCACAAATACATAATTGTCTAAACACTGTGGTATGCATAGGGCAGCAGACTCCAGGGTCAAATGCTTCTGTTCAGCCTGCCCCTCTATGGAATTTCACCTTAATGGCACACATCCATGCACATTCTTGTAAAATGCAGAAGCTCAGAGCTTTCAACTGCTTGTTAAATTAAAATGTTGAAAGCCCATCTCTCCCACAACTGTGCTTAAATTATAATAAAGCTCGGTTTCTTTTATCTTTGTAGATTTAAAGCTATTCTTCAATCAATTAACAGAATCTGCTATACAAATATTAAATATGAAGCAATTAAAACATGATTTAGGGCATAATTTAGAGCAATTAGAACATGATTTCAACAGAAAGGAGGAAACCATGAAAATGAACAAAATCTGGCTACCAGTATTAAAAAAACTTCTAAAATCAAAACAGTAAATAAAGAAGAACACTCAAAAACAGCAGAATTCCAAACAAGAAACAACCAAGGCCAGCTAATCACTTCCCAACAAAGGATTCCCCCAGGCAGTATGCAGCCAGACCGTGAAGCTGCAAGGTCATTAAATGTAAATCAAGGTGGCCAATTGCAATATTCACACCTGCCTCAAACAGACAAGAGTTCTTTCTCCCACCCTGGACTTTCCAGAGATATATGAACCCCGCTTGCCTAGTTTCCAACAGACCTCACAACCTCTGAGGATGCCTGCCATAGATGTAGGTGAAACGTCAAGAGAGAATGCTTCTGGAACATGGCTATACAGCTCGGAAAACTCACAGCAACTCAAGTGATTTAGGCCTATAGGCTACTGTGCCATTTGGCGAATCACAATTTTCATAAATGCAAATTTTAAAAAACAACATTTAAGAAATTTCAGTACAAAAAAGAAATTTACATTTTGGGAATACTAAGGCAATGACAAACCCCTTCTGAAAAAATCTTGCCAAGAAAACTTCAATAAGGTTGCCATATGTAGGAAATAACTTGATGTCACTGAGCAACAAAAGGCAATGGATGATGGCTTGAGAGATGGACAAGAGTCCTGCAAGACTAGGAATCAAATCTCTCCTCAGTCAAGAAATCCCATTGGGACACCTTGGGCAAGTTATACTCTTTCATTCTCTGAGGAAGGCAATGATAAACCTGCTCTGAAGAGATTTTTTCAAGAAAACCTCATGATAGGGTCAGCGTAAGAATGGCCTTGGGATACATGATAACAAAATATTTTCAGACTTTGTCCATTTATTATTTCAGTGATTTGCACGCTTCATTATGCAAATTGATGTGTGCATGTATTGATATGTGTGATTATTTTCTCTTAAAATGTGAGCATTATCTGTTTGAGCATGAGTAAACAAAGCATATATCTGCTTACCCGCATATTCATAGAACCATTCTAAGCATCTCTTGCTTAAGAACATGTCATCTTCTGTCTTTATTCTAGCAGAATCATATTTTCTGTACATACTAGTGATGAAGAGAAAGAAAACAACAATCCTGTATTAGACACATAACCATTATGAGGTGGTTATTATATGTCACTGAAACTGATCCCCCAAAAATCCTCCTTAAAATCCAGCCAACTGCAGATCTATAGCACTGGCAAGAAGAGCTCTGAAGAATGCATCCAGCCCCATCATGCTATCAACTTTTTTTTATCAGGTCAGAAGTGAATTAAAAATATACTGCAAATCGCTTCTGGTGTGAGAGAAGTGGCAACTGCAAGGACTTTGCACAGGGAATGCCTGGATGTGTTACCATCCTGTGGAAGTCTTCTCTCATGTCTGGGGTTGACAGACGAAAGCTCACCCCGTCACACAGATTCAAACTACCAACCTTCAGGTCAGCAGTTCAGCCGGCACAAAGGTTTAACCCACTGCGCCACTACAATGGAACTGCTGCAAGGTCTTATTGCAACTCCTTAGTACATCACAGATTGATGTTGGGAGGGGACTGGACCTGTCATCCTCTAATTCCCCATTGTTAGCACTGCAAAACTCCATTCCTCAGTACAGATGACTGGATTTTAAGATGGGTTTGGGGGTCATGTACAATCATGGCAATGGTCGGTATGATGTAACTAACAAAATGAGAAGTGTCATGTTTCCGTTCTATAAAATATACCAAAATATTTAAATACATATTGAAATAGATCCTCACTTTTAGCTAATCCACATCTCTTCAGAGATTTGAAACAAGTAAAACCTACCAGAAGCAAAACAATTCACAACTGTGTAATTGAACATCCCCAGTCATGAATTTTTATACTGAAATCTAAACCATATAAATGGCACTCTTGAAGCAGGAGAAAGTCCATAATTTAACTTTCTGGGATAATCAGATGACAGATACATAAACTGAAGCAATGAAAAGGGCAACATTAGGCAGCCCTTCTCCCAGCATATTCTAGAATTTTTCTTTGAATTTTTAGCAATCAAATCTCTTTCTCTTCCCCACCTCTCATACATACATATATACATACAGAGAGAGAGAGAGAAATATGCAGTACTGATCCTTGTTCCTTTACCTAACTAACCAGTTTCCTGAATTTGGAAGAAATCAGAAACTGCAATTCTTGCAATCTGTAACAAGAATGTAAATACTCTGCCCCCTTTACACAGTTAGGAAAGAAATAACTAAATGAACACGTTCATTACATATTGTGCACACACAAGCTAAAATTTGTTTAATCTGGGATGAACCAGTGTTTTTGTCCTCATCTACTTAAGTTTAATGACTACACCTTTTGGAGGTGTCTATGGACAACAATGGCTCTTTGGCTTAGAAATGGAGATGAGCACCAACCCCCAGAGTTGGACACGACTGGACTTAATGTCAAGGGAAAACCTTTACCTACATAATTGCTCAAAGTAAAAAGCTATTTGCTAGACACTAAGGTAAACCAAGTTAATATGCCACCTCCACTTAGTAGGCCCTTTCTACCCAGATTCCTAGCATAAAAGTGGTTCCATAACTAAGAGAATTACATACCCATCATGTCTACTCTTTTTAGCTGATAAGTCATCTCCAGCTGCAGGTCGCCTCTTTTTCCTTGGAGGCATCACTTTGCTAAAGCAGTCTGAAGAACTGCAAGACCTGAGACTTCCTGTGGAATTAGGGAAGTGGGGGAAGAGAGAAAGAACAGATTAAACAGGTGCAAAAAATGTAGCTCTGCTCAGCCTCAAAAGTGTTTGAAATAAACTAAAAGTAAAAACACAAACTTTTTATAAGTTGTACAATAAACAATTATAACACAGCAGAAAGGCCAAATAAGCACATCAGCAGGGAAGAATCCAAAGCACTATTCAGCCATCTCTAAAAACAGTAAATGATAAAACAGACTGAAATTTAAAAGATCTGGGGAAATATAAACATTGGTACCTGGTGCCTGAAACTGCAATCAATAGGGCTAGGTGTACAAACTTAGAGGGTATCGATTCTACAAAATGAAAATTCAAATTTCCTATCAATAAAATATTACAGAAGTTAGAAAATATGTTAAGTGTAGACGGCTCAGGTCCAGGCTATTTGGCTGACGGTATCCCCTTGTACGAACCTGCCCAAGCTCTGAGATCTTCAAGAAAGGTCCTTCTCTCGGTCCCAAATCCATCTCAAGTTCGGAAGGAATGAGAGAGAGGGCTTTCTCAGTGGCTGCCCCTCGACTCTGAAACTCCCTGCCCTGGGAAGCCAGAATGGCCCCCTCCCTGCTGGCCTCCATGCTGGCTTAATGGTTTTTAAGATCAATTCAGGGGGTGCTGTGATTTTTAAACTTGAATACGTTTTAATGGTTTTTAACTCTGAATTTTTAAATACTGTTTATATTTAATTCTGTTTTGATGTTTGCATATTTGTATATTTTAAATTGTATGTTTGTTTATTTACGGCATTTCTACCCTGCCTTTCTCCACCCTGGAGGGGACTCAAGTGCCTTACACATTGGCAACTATTCGATGCCATAAAACAATGTACAATTAAAATAAACATTTAAACAGAATTATAATATACATTAAAGCAATTAAAACATTTTAAACAATCTGCTTTTATGGTAAGTTGCTTTTAGTTTCCTTCAGGAGAGATAAAGCAGGGTATAAATAAGTATAATAAATGAATAATAGAAGGAGATGGATGGTATCCTTGAAGTGACTGGACTGACCTTGAAGGAGCTGGGGGTGGTGACGGCCGACAGGGAGCTCTGGCGTGGACTGGTCCATGAGGTCACGAAGAGTCGGAGACGACTGAACGAATGAACAACAACAACAATAGAAGGAGAACAAATGCCAAGGGATATGTAAGTATGCTTTAAAAGGCACATGGAGAGTGCAAGGGGGAAAGAGCACAATAGTGTGTGCTCTGGATAAGCAAAGGCTGTTTGAAATGGGGTAGCTGAGTCGTAACGCCTCTAGAAGCACTATCTGCATTTAAACTCCCTGATATAAGGAAATAGACAATATCAGTATCAGTATAGCATGTAACTAACATCTTAATACGCTGAGCTTCACTTCCAGCTACCATTGTTGTGTACCTGTTTCCACCATTGCACTACCATTTTGTGGATTATAGGTCTAACATTCATAGCTTTCTGAAATGAATTCTAGGGACTGAACCCTATCTAGAATAGTTTGAACCTTATCTTCTTGGTCATTAACAGTAGCTCTGTCTTATCTAGATGTAATCCGCCACTCCTTGTTGATTCCATGTACTTTTTCTACATTTCGAATTTCTAAAAGAGAAGCTATCCTGAATATCAACAACAGTAAATACTTTATTTACAAGAGCGTGATTCCCTGCCCTACCTGGGCAACATCATTAATGGAGAATCAGAGGGAGTTATCCATTTGCTCACTCAGAAACTGATGGGTCTACTCTAGCTGAGACTAACCAATAGGATTCAAATCAATATACAATATCAGTCCAACCAACCATGCCATAAATAACATACCATAAAAAGTGGTGAGACAACCAACAATGTAGCATAATAACCTTATGTTTTCAATTGATGCCAAACGAATTTAAAATAGTATCACACAGCTAATCCAGGCCACACAAGAATTCTAGATATTGTGTGGTATGAAAGCATATTATCGAGTTTTATGGAAGGCTTAATGAAATTACATTCAATTACTATTACTATACTTATGGAATTATACACAAACCTGTCTGATTCTTATCTAGGACCAATTCATCTTGCTGTTATAATACATGTAATGTAGCCTTCTCTAACACTGCCCTCCTTAGCAGTTAGGACAAACAACAAGAGCTGGAGACCCCTCCTCAAAGTACCAATGCTCCATCACCTTGTCCCATGCTCCCAAAAATGGTACCTGATTTGGGTAGCTGGATCTCTTAAATTCCTTGTAGCTAGTATCAGATGCTCTTTTCTGAACAGCCAGGGGAAGGGAGTCTGCTCAGGGAAGAACATCTATCTGCAACAGAACCTGGTCTAGAAACAAGTATTTGAAATCAGTCTTCTAGCAGCAGAATTGGGCATATACAAGCTTCAGTTGAGGCACCTTTTCCCCATGATAACTCTTCCAGGAGTGAATTTCCCTTCCTAGGGGTAGATTTCTCTCACTTCATGTTGTCTCACCTCAGTTCTTAACTATGAGTCATTTGCAAGACAAATGTTTGTAACTTGGGGACTGCCTGTATTTGCAATTCATTTCTAGCAACAGGCCTCTTACAACTGCTATTTTAGATATATGTCTTTTAAACTGCTTGATGAATGACAGTTGTAACACTTCTTTCACAAAAAGCCTAGAAAAGCATGTTTAATTATGCATCAACAATATGTACTATAGAGTATAGGCAAATAACTTTATAGTATTCTACTATTATAAATCTGTACTTTTTGCTCAGCTACAGCTTTATAATCAGAAACAGAGTCCGCTCTTGAGAATATGACACAAAGATAGAAGCAATTAAGCAACTCTTCATGCATCATCATTCTTCATACATGATCTATGTTTGTTGCAAACATGAAACAGCTGATCAGTTTGATTTAAAAGAACCTCTTCAAAAACTCAAGGGATGTTTACTCAGACTCCCAGCTTAACTTCCGTTCACTTGGTGACTTGTGTTGCTTCATGAAGCCAAAGAAACTTACCCAATGCCCATGTGTCGCAAACATTGCATCTCTCTCTCCTCCATTTTCAATAAGCAATACAAATGTAGGAGCACAACAAGAAAACATTTGCTTGGCATACAAAAGTAGCAAGCCTAGCTACCTCCCTATCAGGGATTATTACTATTAGACCAAATAAACCAATGTTCTAATTTTTGTTTAAAATATCCTCCATGGAACTTTGCATCAATTTAGGCAAGGAACCATACAACTAACATTAGCAACATCACAGAAACATGACAGTAAGTACTGCTGTTAAATATATATGAAATGTTTTGGCAATATAATTTACATGAACTTGATAAGCAAAGGTGAATGCAGGAAATAATGTTAACACTGCAGGCCGTGTGATAATACTGCATGTTGAGGTTATAGTTTTGAAAAACTGATCACAAGATATGGACCAAATTTTGAACCTGAATCCTCAAGATTATCTTTAAGAGTCATCACCTTATAAGCCTTAGTGAATTATTCTATACAAACTGTAAATCATACAGTGGTTTTAAATGATAGATTATCTGTGTTCATTCTGTCCCCTAACAGTGAACCATGCAAGCAAACCATCCAGCAACATTATTATAATTTCTAGGGTACATAACACCTTTTCTTTTGTTAGTACACAATTTCTTGAACACCAAAAACAGGAAAGAAGTTTTCCTTAGACTTAACATTGCCAAAAATGCCATAAAACACTTGCACTTAAAAGTGTTACCTGTTTGGCGATCGTCTTGACCAGCGTCTTCTGTCAAATTCTAAAAAAAAAATTAAACCAGTGCGATTAACAGAATTCAACTATTCTTATATAGCTTTCATATAGTATCAGCTAGCCCATTTTGTCTTACTATTTTCCTCCTTTTCACTTCTTCTCTGTCTTCAAAGCTTCTTGGGAGATGCCCCCCCCCTTTTTTTTCTCCCTGGTGTAGTAATCAATAAAATGCTTCTAAAGATTTACTATGCTTTCTAAACCTGATGAAGTTTTAAAATTATGACCAGAAATCTAAAATGACATGTCAGAAAAAAAACATGTTTTGAAAATAATTCTGCCCCATCTTTTAAAAGAGGCTTTCAAGATAGGTTAATGCTGAAAACTCTGAAGGAAAAACATTACCATATAACTCCATATTTGAGTAGAAATCTTAGATTCCCATTGTACATGGAAACATAAGGCAAATTCTTAGCCATTTCCTCCAACAATCCTTAACAGTCAAATATATATGGAGATAGTGGCTAAATGGCCAACATTGTGTAAGTATTTGGATTTAGATATTCATGAATATCCCCAGAAGGAATGAACTCTGAAATGGCTGCAATAGTGATATGGAAAACAACAATTTAAGGAAACTATAACATGAAGGAGTTGTAACATATCATTGGGACTACAAAGTGAAAGAAATCAAAGCCTACAAAATCTTCAGTATCAGAAAAAGAGAGAACTTCTGGGAATGAATCAAGAAATAACAGGCAGAGGACTCCAAACACATCGCAAAATATTCTAAGAAAGGAGCATTATTTCAAATAGCCTATTGCCTGTTAAACCTCCAGGCACCGACATTTTACAAGTTCAAGTAGATGTTGCAATATCAAGGAAAGAAGACCTGGGTGTAAAAATGGGAGCCGAAGTATCAACTACTCTGTTAAACAATGGGAGAAGTACACGAAGGCAAAGTTGAAATGTTGCTTATTCTCAACATTCTCAAACTACATTTCTTTGGGAAGACAAAACATTCTTTTCATTCAGTCATGCCTCAGTTCATCCATTGGGAAGGAATGTTATGTGTCCCTGGACATCGCTGCTATCGTGGCTGACAGAAAATATATCCTTTCTGATTGACAGTAAGAATGTGGGCAGGAGAGCTTCATTTCCAGCCACCTCCATCTGTGAAGATGGGCTAAGAATAAAGTCCCCATCACCACCACTGCCATCTCTTGCCTTTGAAAAAATGCCAACAACCTGTCTTTCCAGTATAATACCCAAGCTCTGTTGTGTTTCCAGAAGAGTAACAGATTTGTTATGCTTCCAGAAGTTTTATCCCCAAGTGCTATGTACAAGCAAGCAAGGTAACAGTTGTAGGGGAAAAAGCTTTTTTAATGAATTCTCACATGTTTAATTCTTATAAACTACTGAAAAGTCATAGTTAGCTCAAGGGAACCTGTTGGGGCACTTGGAGTGAAATAAATAAATGATGTATCAAGTTACAAGTATGCATATTGGAATAAAGCAATTTAGCCAATATACCTCTGAAAACAAAAACAAAAATACAATAGAATACAATCTGAATTAAACATATGCTGTGATTTGTGATCCACCTCTCAAACCTGTACAAAACTGAGTATAATCTTATTCACATGAGCTCCCTTCTATTTATTAGCTGCACTACTAATAGCAAAACAGTGACACTCACTGCAACAGCTAAGAAATTACTACTATCCAAGTAACTGGTATACTATTACTACTACAGCATGGTGATATTGCAGCTATAGTATAAACAACATACTTCAGATGTATTAACAATGTGAACATTCATGCAAAGGTGAACAGGCATGTGGAGAGTTAATGGAACCAAAAAATTTACCCATGATCAAGATTACAAGATTTTAAAATATGCATTGAAGACTACAAAATTAGCAGAAAAGAAATGGCATGTGATTACCAGCCTATTAAGAGTGTGGTAAATCTTGTGAATATTTGCCAATGTTGATAGATGAGAGTTCAGCTGAAAATCTAGAAAGAAAAAACAAACATTTTCTTAATTTGGTTATGAAACAGCTTTAAAACTTCTGCACCAAAATGGTAAATACAAGACTGGTACATTTAGTAAAGTAAACACTTTTTATATTGTCCTTTTATACAGAGCTTATTTTTTCTCCCATTCATTAGATTTCAGATATTTTCCAAACTATAAAACATAACAAATACAGATCACCAGCAAGAACTTCAACAAGCAGACTGACAAATTAAGGCTGAATTGAAGTCCCAATATTCCATTTAACCTCAATTTTGAGACAGACGAACATAGAATTAACATGTACCACAGGTTTGGTGAATTACGATGGAACTGAAATCCAACTAGTACTTCCTCTCTCAGTGTACAAACTGGGAGAAATGGAATTGGCCTTAACCAAGCATTTCTAAAGTATTACATATATGATTAATGTAAACACAGAACCATACAATAGATGTCATACAAACGTATTTAGAAGTACAATCCAACAACTGCTAGAAACATGACTTTTCAGAAATATGAACTCTGGATTTCAAGAAGGCTGTTTTTACAAATTGATGATTTAATCCACCGGCATCAAATTCATTTTTTACCAAGGGCCACATAAGTCTTATGGTTACCTTCAAAGGGGCATTTGTAATTTTAAGACTATATAAATTATGTTGCCTTGACAGTGAAAGCTTCACAGGCCACATAAAATGACGTGGTGGGCCATGTGATTTAACCAATCTGATACTATGATTTAACCTATTAGATACTACATCCCATAACTAGAAATGCTCAAGTGCTCATAAACTGCTGCAATCCTACCTGAAACTTCAAGTCATAGATAGCCAGAGCTAAACCTTCACAGGGCCACAAGCAACAGAAAAGTATAACATAGACCTAGATACTCCAGCTATGAAGCAAAGGTATCTAACTGGGCCAGCATACTGGAGATCCATCCTGCGCAAGGCAAGCAGAACTATGGTGAATGTCAGTCTATAACAGACAGAGGTTTTTGCCAACACAATTTACTCCATAGTTTGAAAAGAATTCTACCCAATCTTTTAAAAGAGGCTTTCAAGATAGGTTAATGATGAAAACTCTGAAGGAAAAACTTTGCCATATAACTCCATATTTGAGTAGAATAAACCTTAGGTTTTTACTGTACATGGAAACATAACTGACAAACATTTCTAGACCTGTGTAGAGATAAAGGTACATTAAAAGTTTTCCAGGACTCCATTTAATACAACTGAAAGTGGTATCTCACCATGGCAAAGCAACACTGTAGCATCTTCCTGGATTAGCAGAAAATTCTGGTTTGCCTAACAGCAGTCATGGCGTCTTAACAAATTACATTATTTACTGGCAGGGTTGTTCAAAGGATTGCGCGCCAATTTTATTTTAAGATAAGCTTTTGGTAGGATCAATGGTTTTATTTTTACTTTAGGCCTAGAGGTCACTTCCCCCCTATAAATGCCATCACATTATTTTGTAAGAGGATATTTTCCTTGGTTCTCTTGAGCTCTCAAAACATACAAAACATAGAAGTAATGTAAGACATTTTCCATCTTCAGTAATATAAAGTTAATTTTAGCATTACAAAAAATGACATGGCATGAACAAGCCTCGCTGCATGCTGATACAATTCTGGCACCTGTCTAATCCTTATAAGTATACAGACAAGATAGTACTCAGTTAGAATGATCACTCAAATTATGGCTGATGTCACAGAGGAGAAAAATGCCATGAAGTTCTGAGTTAAACTGTTCTATAGAATTAATAGGTTCTCTTTCTGTATGACTACAATCAGTCTAGTGTGGTTTAAGAAACTACTGATTTAAGTTACATTCATTACTGGAAATGCTGTATTACTGAGAACCAGACTATTTCTGAACCAAAGAAACACCCCAGAAAGAAGGGTATGTGTGTCAAACCTTTTTTGGAACATTTCCACAAAAAGAACTAAACTTTTCATGTTCATTTTAAAATGATTTTGGTCCTACTAAAGACAGCTTTCTTCAAACTCATTCTAATAAAACTAAAATATAACAGACTACTCAGACTACTCAAAAAAATAGTCATATTATTCTAGTTTCAATATGTAAAAGAAAACATGAAGGAGGGATCTATGAGTACTTTCAACTGATTCACTTCGGTAAGTTCAAGTCATGCCTTCAATGCATCTAATGTGATGGACTGAAATCCACAAAAACTCATGTTAGAATGAGTTCATCTCAAAAGTTAAACTTTGCGCTACGTTTTTTTAAAATATGGTGTTCCTTCCAATCTTCTGATGTGGTCATTCTCTGAGAAACAATTTCACACAAAGCAGCTAGTACTTGACATGTGATGTTACACACATTCAAGCTAGACTCCTTATGTGACCAGTAATATTTTACACAGAGAAATCTAAAAGCATCCAGCTTCAATTAATAAGATTTTACATATTCCATAGCTAAATACAAAGATCAAACAAAATGTTGGGCTGTCAGTCAGGCGGGCTGCAGCTAAGACTAAGATGGGCAATCTCCCATGATACAGTAAAGCAGAGGGTCAGGGGTCATTTTTTAGTCCTGTGGACTGCCAACAGGTTATACTGGAGATCTAGAAGTGACATCATGTAACTTTCAGCTCCTGTTTGGGGCCAATTTCCAGTTGTTTCATGATGGCTTAGCAGAAAGATATCAACCACCACATTTCAGGGAGGTTTTGAGATTTTCAAGAAAAAAATCACACACAAACCCCAAGGTCTGTCTGGAAGTTTAGGGGTATTTGGAGTGGCTTGGGTAAATCTCAAAAATGTGACCGAAGACCTTCTTCATCCCTGGTGTAGAACCATTTCATTTCATATCAGAACCCCTCCAATGACATCAAAGTTTGGTTTCAGAATGCTCTCCAACCAGACCAGTGGTTCTCAACCGGTGGGCTCCCAGATATTTTGGCCTTCAATTCCCAGAAATCCTAACAGTTGGTAAACTAGCTGAGATTTCTGGGAGTTGTAGGCCAAAAAACCTGGGGACCCACAGGTTGAGAACCATTGAACTAGACCCATGATTACTTGACTTCTAAACAATGGTAAGCAGAATTTTATTTCAACAATATTTGACTCTTTTATTTTAATGAAATGTATGTTATTTATTTATTTAAATGAAATATATCAAAGACTATATTGTACCATCAGTTTTATCTTGCTGTTTTTAATTATTTAAACTGCTGCAAATAATTTTAGATGGGAAAACAGGATGAAATTGCTGTAATAGATATATGTTCACGTGTGTCTTCTATCTGTTATAGCTCCAAGTAAAAGAACACAAATATCTGAAATCAGGCAGGCATATGAAGTTAACCCAGAAGATGTGTGTCTTAGCTTTATTTTCGGAAGATTGCTCAATACTATACCTTGCAATATCACAATGAGTGACGCTGAAATTGAGACATGTGTATTGCACATACTGTACATCTTACATCCAGACTTTGCAGAAGTCAATGTATTAGGCAAAATCTATATTCACTGAAATGGAGAACACTTCTGTGGCCTTCCAAAATACTTTCCATTTCCCACAATCTCGCCAAAACTTACAGTGCTCTTCCTATGTTTCACAATTAGGAATGCCATATACGTGATTCATTTTAAATTTATATCTTGCCTTTCTATTAAAAAGGTGATAGACTACAAACAATAAAATATAAGATAAAATATGCAATTATAATTTTAAAAATCACTTATAATGTCAATGGTTTTTTTAAAAAATACTGTAAAAAGCTATCATTTAGGGATTATTTCAACAAAACTACAGTAATTTTATAGGCCAAAAGCTCGTCCAGCTAAGGACAACCCTGCCTGTTAGCAGGACATGAGAGCTTGATCTCTCTTAGCAAGGATATTCAATGCTTGGAACCAAGCACAAGAAACCCTCTCTTGTATTCCTATCAAACATCATGATACAGATAGAAAGGCCTCTACCAAGAATTTTAAACCTAGGTAGGTTCTCATGGTAGAATGAAGTCTTTCAAAAACCCTGCTGCCCAGTAAAGTAAGACTTTAAAGCCCACAACACACTCGTGAAGTATCGAACATTTTAATTAAGTGTAAATCATAAAACTAAGTTCCTTTGTCAGTAGTCTAATGCGAGGTTAGTTTTACCATTTCTGATCAGGCTTATCGTACCCATTCCGCTTCTCATCTGTGCTAAATCTTAAGGTGACCAGCCAGGGACATTTTTCTAAACAAGGTAAACTGGTTCCTTTTTTCTGAATACATTTAAAACAAAAACCTTTCTTTGGATTCATAGTAAAGCTTTGCTTTCATGCTGGAAATATTCTGCTGCCAATTAATGGACTCTCACTTGTCATCTGAACAACACTAGCTAAAATACCAAGTGTATAGCCCAAAGACCATCTAGAGGGGAAAGAGACTTCCAGAAAAGACCAATGATTTGACCCAGGGGGAGGAAAGAGTGTCAAATAAATTTGGCTGGCCTGATTTTTAAGAATTCTACTCTTCTGTTGCAGTTGTTAGAGAGGCAGCATGGTGTCGTGGTTTGAGCAGTGGACTACAACTCTAGAGACCAAGGTTTGGATCCCACTCAACCATGAAAACCCACTGGGTGACTTTGGGCCAGTCATATACGCTCAGCCTCAGAGGAAGGTGAAGGGGACCACCCTCTGAACAAAACTTGGTGCTCGGTCTGCCTTAAAGTCGTCATAAATGGGAAACAACATGAAGTCACACAACAAATTGCAGTTGCTGCTGGATCCCATATAAAATGGGCAGTGGTCTTGACCCTAATTTTCTAAGTATCATTGTCATAATGACATTTATTCCACCTGTTGTCAAGTTTTGCAACCCTCTACCCTATATTCCACCCCTTTCATGAGTTCCCCACAAGAAACCTTTGTGAAGAAAGGTTCAAGAAAGACCCACTGTATGAGTGGCCTTCTGCTAACCTATGTTTTGTGTAGAGCTCATATATGTTAAATCAAATCCAAAGGAATACAAGATTACAAGAAA